AAAGAGAGAGGGGTGCGTGGCAAGGAGAGTGAGAAAAAAAAAAAAAACAAAAAAAAAAAAAAAAAAAAAAAAAAAAAAAAAAAAAAAACCGAAAAGTAAAATAAAAGCACGATCTCGCGCCGCGTATCCTAACCACGTCCGCGATTTAGCGCATTAAACCTGCAACCCCCTTTCGGCGACTTACGCCTAGCTTCCCCGCCGCAAGCCTTCGACTTTCGCCCTAACTTTTCCTCTTCTCCCTCCTTTCCCTCCTCTGTACTTTCCCCTCTTCTCGTACTTCCCCTTTGTCCTCCTCCTCCCCCTTCTCCTCCAGCTCCATCTCTTTCTGCTTCCCTACCCTCCCTCCCTCTTAGGATTTCGCCTTCCTTTTTCTCCTCCTCCTCGCGTTCCTCTTCCTCGTCCTCGTCCTCCCCTTCATGTCGCTTTGTCTCCCTTTTGCGATCCGAGTGAACAGGAAAGAAAAACAAAACCACCATACACTCATCCTCCCCTTCATGTCGCTTCATCTCCCTTTTGTGATCAGAGTGAGCAGGAAAGAAAAACAAAACCACCATAGCCTGTTTCGGCCCCCTTTTCCCACGCCATTATCATCTCACCTTGTCCTTGCAAATAGTGCTCCTCACTCCTTATCTTTCATCTTCATCGGCGTCTTCAACCTCGTTTTCATCAGTCAGCGTCGTCATGGTAGGTTGCTTGGTCTCTCTCTCTCTCTCTCTCTCTCTCTCTCTCTCTCTCTCTCTCTCTCTCTCTCTCTCTCTCTCTCTGTGTGTGTGTGTGTGTGTGTGGTGCGCACGCGCGTGGGCACCTACCCACACACAGTTCGTGTGAACCCCACGAAAAAAGCATGACTGTGCCAGACTGTTTCGTTGGACTTTCACCGACAGTCTGCCATTGATGCATTTGCATGCATGCATGTGTTCGTGCTTGTGCGTGTGTGCGTGCATGTGTGTGTGTGCGTGTGTGCGTGCATGTGTGTGTGTGCGTGCATGTGCTTGTTCGAGGGGACGGGCGGGAGTTCGTGTGCGGGGGGACCGAACCGCTGAGCCCAAGAGGAGACCTTCCTGCTTGGAAACGGTTTCTTCCCACGCCTGGCAGCCCTAACTTCGGTTGGGCTGCAAAATACTAATCTGGGCCGTTGGCTAAGTGGTACCGGGCCGACGGCCCCGATTGCCCCGCAGTTTAAAGATCGTGGGGCAATCCGGGCCGTTGGGCCAGTAGGACCGCTAACGGCCTGGATCGCCGCGCAAGCTTAAAATCTTAAGATCGCAGGGCGATCCGGGGCGTCGGGCCTGCAGGTCCGCAGACGGCCCGCATCCCAAAATTCTCACATTAGGAACTTTTATAAGTGTAGGGATATGCATTCGGCTTGGCGCGAAGATGTTTTCATGGGCCAAATTGGTCCCCAATTTTGTTCATTTTCCTTTTTTTTTCCCCCTTATGGAGAGGAGCCTAACCAACATCCCTCTTTTTTTTTTGAATTTTGCATCGCCAGAAATTACTGTTAAAAATGACCAATGACAGGATTCATGTGCCTCAGCACCCGGTCCCGTTCCAAGTCCCAACTTCCCTTGTACATAGACCCCTCCAGTAGCCTGTACAGAACCCTCCAGTAGGGACCGTACCATAGGCTTGCTAGAAACTGGGAGGCTAGGACCGTGGGAGTCCAACACTACCGTAGGGACCTGTAACCTGTCAACCCCCGGTCGGTCGCAGCTCAGTCCCAAGAAAGTCCTATGATGATCCGAACCATTGGGCCTCACTCCACCACACTAGACTCACAAAAAATTCTAGAGCTGCCAGAGGTCTAAAACTCTCGAAAAAAGAGGCCTTGCTCCACTTACTCTAGACTCACGAACTCTAGAAGCACACGAATTTCCGACAGCATTTCTAGAGTGTCATATTTCAAGAGCACTACGAGACAGCGCCAGCCTGTTATGAAGGCCGGGACTGGAGGCACACTCACGAAAAAAAGAGGCCGCAGCGGGGGTAGGAGGGATCACGCTAGAAACCATTGTGTTGACGGCTGTGAACTCTAGACTCATCGAGAGTGCCCTTCGAGAGTGCTTTCTGACAGCTCTGGAAGGGTGTTTCCATGAGTACAACTGTACAAGTCTAGAGTAAGTGCAGCGAGGCGTTACTCTCGAAAATTCGAGTCTAGAGTAGTGGAGCGAGGCTGCAAGGCTGCAAGGCCCATTGTCCTATGTTGCACGCCCGGCCGCGGCCTCGGCCGATGGCCGAATCGGCTCGGTTCGGCCTAGGCCGACCAGCCGAGTTGCATGCAGGATTTTTTTTTTTTTTTTCTAACGCATGATATATATGGGCGTGTAGGGCTCAAAAAACCCTACACGCCCATTTTTTTTGGGGGGGCATTGTTGTTTTCTATTGCATAACAAAAATTAAAAACAGAAAAAAGAAAAAGAAAAAAAATACCGCGTCGAAACCCCGCGCATGTGTGTGTGTGTGTGTGATCGGGGGGAGGCCGGGGGGGGGACCCCTCCCCACTAATCAATCAATCAATCAATTAATCAAAAAAAAAAAAAAAGGAGAAAGAAAAAAAAAAACGAATGAATCTGGCGCTATATTGTGGGAATATACACTGCGCGCGCGCCGTGGAGTGGAGGGAGGACCCCTCCCCCACCAACCAATCAATCAATCAATCAATCAATCAATAAAAAAAAAAAGTCAATCAATGAATTTTTTTTTTCTATTTATGTAATTTTTTTTTGGTAGTCATCGAAACCCCCCCCCCCCGTTTTTGAAGTTTTT